AAATTAAAAACTGAAAAATAGTATTTGCAATTCATATCAGGCAGTGAACTAATCTTAATATTTAAAAAACTCCTAAAAGTTAATAAGAAAAAAAATGAGAAAAATAAATAAAGCATATGAACAGTTTGCAAAAAAAAAAAAAAAATCCAAAGGTTTTTAAACATGCTCAGCCTTATTCCTCATAAAATATTGCCAATATAAACTATCATGAGATACTGTTTTTTGCCTAATCGGCAATGCCCGGAGACACTTTTGGTAATCAAAACCAGGAGGGTGTTACTGATACTAATGGGGACAGGCCAGGGATGCTGCTAAATATTTTATAGTGCACAACCCCTCACAAGGAAGAATTATTTGGCCCCAAATACCGCTAGTGTTTTGGATATCAAAACATGCCAAAACATCTCTTACAAACCATAAGGTAATAATTATTTTGTAAGCTACAATAAAATCTAGTGCATTTGTTCCATTAGGGACCCTTCCCAAATGAATAACTGAATGGATCCCTGACAACAAGAAAACAAGAAAATGACATCCAACTGTCACAAATCACTGTTAAGAGGGTCTTTGTCTTTTCCCCAGCCCATGACCCTGTTCCAGATTCAGTTCCTGAATGCCGTTGGAGATCTGTTGGATCTGATTCCTTCGGTTTCTCAAACAAAAAATTCCAGCCTGAAGGTTTTTAAGAGATGGGACATGGGACATTGCTCTGCTCTCATTAAGGTGAGACACATAGCAGCCTCTGTCTTTTTCCTTGCTCCGGGCCACGCAGACTTTTTCTATATGTCAATCCAAGTGTGGCCACATCTCAATCCTGGCTGGAGCCATCTATAAGCTCATGGGTCCTCTGTCTAGAAGTTAACAATTAGAAGGAGCTGATGGAGGGAATTGGAAGTTCATGATGTTACCTCTGTTTCTTCCACCATTCCTCATGCCATATGCACCTGCCACTCCCACCTCCCACAGTCTTCCATTTTGGATACTTGAAGGACAGAGTCTGTCTGTTTTGTGCACACTAGAGGTTAATGTTGTGCTCCTTGGCCATATTTTCTGATAATAAATATAGTAATGAACACCCAAATTGACACAATCCCTGTACACTTTCTACACTTGTAGTCAGTTATCTATATACCTCTGCGTCATTCACTATGATTCTGGCTATAGGTTCTTCCCGGATTTGAGAACATCTTTTTTGCTCACTCAAGCTGGTACACATACGCAGCCATGCTCAGGATATATAAACACTGGGACTTCAACATCAAAGATAAAGACACCAGCAGTAGTCGCCTCTCTTTCAGCAGTTACCCAGGTAAATAAATTTAGAGGGACATCGGAGTACTCTGAGTATTCTTTCAGAATGAAACCTTGGTGATTCAGAGTAACTGGAATGGGAGAAGAAACCTTTAGAGGTTAGTATGCATAAATGAAAGTTGATTTTCAGAATGCCTTTTGAAGAAATACAGCTCTAATGCTTTTATTTAATGGAATGGTGTAAACAAAGTTAACGGCTGCCGAAAATTCACTTCAAAAAATGCCAAGTGAGGTACGAGGCACTTTCCTAGGCTCTGCGGTGGAAGCCGGGTTGGGCAACAGAGATCCTGCTCTCGGTATCTCCTCGAGGGCCTGTTTCTTTTATTCGTCACAATATCCACAGAACTTAATCTAGTATGTGGCACTTTGTACTTAATCAATTTTTGCTGAATGAATGTGTAAGCTTATAAATCTGACACTAGCAAGATAAGTACAATACAGATAGTAATGGTATTATTACTGGGTACTGTGTGGGCTACAGCCGAAATGTAAGGAATGTTGAAAGTATTCAAAAGAGGGTCAGCTCATATTGAATTGTCAAGGAAAGGAAAGAGAGGCTGACACTTGAGATGAACCATGAATGATGACTAGAATTTGAACAGGTAGAGATGGGTGGGAAGGACAGTCTCTGTGGAGTAGGAGTTGCAAGCTCCTATTCTTGAAGGGGCCAGGCAGATGATGTAAAATGGATGAAGGAGGGCTGGTATAAGAAAATAAAAGGGAAAACAATTGTAGCAAACACATGACCCATTGAAAGGGCGCCAAGTTCTCGGCTCCCAATGACTATTGTCACTCAGCAATATGGAGGTCGGTGTTGCCAGATCCTTCAACTTCTGAAGATAGAAATATAGATTTAACAAAACCCATTGTGTGAACCTAATGAAGCATGTCTGCTAGCTGGATGGCCCCCTCAGTGTTGGTTTGCTACCTCTTCAGGAAACGTCATGGGTAAAGGCAAGGGGAAAATTCTTACCAAACATCTAAGAGTCCAACACGGATACAAGGTGGACACTTCTGACCTTTAATTCCATATTTGTAACTTACAGGGTGGTTATACAAACCACCTGTTTTATCTATCTACCTTTGTCAGAGTATCATTACCCCTTCTGGTATTATTATTCCTGGTAGTATTAATACCATCCTATTAGGAATTCTGATCAGTGGCATAACGTGGTGTTTTTCTGTCCTTGTGACCTGATCCTTCCTTTGAAAATACTTTGATTTCATCTTTGTCATTGCTTGCTTAATTGTTTTAAAATTATTGAGGGGGGCTGGGCTCTCCTCTCTCAGAGTTAGACTGTGTTTTGACTTCTTTGTATTCCTTCAGACTGAAATTTAAGGACGGCAAGAGACCGAGGCCAGTCAAATATTCATATTCTTCCTCTCATTTGCAGTAAAATGCAATGTTCAGATGTTACCTGCACTGCTTTGAAATCTCTGCAGAATGGTGTTCTTTCATAGTCTTAATAATCCTGGATCCCAGAGGTAGTGATGGGGAAGGAATTTCCTATGAGACGTATAAGTCTGTTAACATTCGCACATATGTATGTATCTTTCCAGAATAGGTACATAGATAATAGAGCTTTTTTAGAGCATATGAGAGAAAACAAGACTTTTTTTTAAAACCCAAGGTGTTTTCACAGGAGCTAGTGTAGCAATGTGATTCGTATTTTCTTTAATTGGACAGTTTTGTTCTCAACAGCAAACATGAAAAACGTGTAGGATCTCATTTCTATTACAAAGAATTGTTTGATTAAAGAATCTGCCCGCCACTTTGGATTCATATGGAGCTAAGCTTTGCTGTGAACTTCATTCCCTGTGTGCTGTTGATCCTGGAACAAAGCTGGGGTGGCTTGTTTGTTTGTTGGTGGAGGAGTGCCATGGATTAGGAGTGTGGTATCAGGACTTGGAGGTTCTTCATGATACGAGAAGGGTGTTAAGAATTACTGAGTCAGAGCAGGAATAATCAAGTCATGAAATATTTGTGACTTGGCTGAGACCCATATTAAAGATGACAACTGGGATGGTATAGAGACTGTTATACTAAAGATACAAATAACTCTGAAGATTTCCAATGCACCTATCCATACTTTTATAATACATCATGACCCCCACCCCACTGCTGCCCGATTCTGTGGAAGTGACCACCAAGATGATTGCCCTGAAAAACACTAAAGCTTCAAGACACAAAGACATTTTTTTGTTTTGAGGTTGTCCAAAAGGAAAATGATAGAGCTAGGACAGCTGTAAACTGTTCCTCCACGTACGAAATCCAACGATTTTACTTTGGAGAGCCTCAGTTTTCTCATCTAGAGAATGAGACTAACATAAAGGCTGACTTCATAGAGTGGTAAACATTATGTAATTTATTTATCCATTCACAATTTTCTATGAAATTGTCGTGTTAGGCGAAGTATTTATGACAGGAGACAGGACAGATGCAGTTCCTATTCTAACAAAATTTGTATTCTGGTGGAAGGGACAAATAAAAAAGCAATGATTAAAGTGTGATTTATGAAATAATAGGGAAGACTAGTTTGGGGATGTTGATCTTCCAAGAGAAAGTAAAATTTAAGTTGAGGCGCAAAAACAAGTATAAATTAGCAAATGGGGACAAGGGGGCAATAAAATGTTCCATGTAGGCCAAGCAGCATGTGCAAAGGCCTGTAGGCAAGAAAAAAAAATGTGGAGAAGGCCAGAAAGACGGAATGGAGGACAGTGAAGACCATTCAGGTGACAAGTGGTAGAAGTGACATTAATAGATTTGCATATTAGAATTACCTGGCCCACGCAAAAGGAGGACGAGACAGGTTGCCAAGAGGACATTTAGAAGCCTGAGGCAATAATCTGGTGCCTCAAGCCATGTAATGTTTTGTAGATGGTCAGTCAGGATGTGGAGGGAAGATTGAGATCCATCTTCAAGAAGAGAACAATATCAACAATGACTGCTGAATTACTCCAGCAATTCAGGAATTTCTATGGGCTCCCGTTGTCCTAGCCAGAATCTTTGAGAGGTAATGACCTAATGGGAGTTGTCACAAGGGCACTCCCAAAGTCGTAGTCCAGCGTAGGAGAAGAGAAGAAACAGTAGTAATCCAGCACACTCAGATTTATCTAAGTCAGTCTCATGCTCTGTGTTCACCAGAGCCCCAGGTGACTCCATAAAAATGGAGGTGGTTATGTCAAGGAAACAAATTAATATATTAAGTCCCATCTTAATCTAGAAAAGGTAAGGTGACTTGGTAGCTTAATAGTTTCCATCTTTTCCAGACTGTTTTTTTTTAAGATTTTATTTATTTATTTGACAGAGACACAGCGAGAGGGAACACAAGCAGGGGAGGTAGGAGAGGGAGAAGCAGGCTTCCTGCGGAGCAGGGAGCCCGACGCGGGGCTCGATCCCAGGACCCTGGGATCACGACCTGAGCCGAAGGCAGACGCTTAACGACTTTGCCACCCAGGCGCCCCAGACTGTTTTGTTTTTTTTTTTAAAAAAACTGAGTAGGACTTTCCTTTACCCTTGGGGAAATTATTTCACCTGAAGATACTAACATGAAATGCCCTGAGAAAGTCAAAAGTAGACCACAAGTATGCCAGGTGCTAATAAACCTCGGGACTACCCTCAGGCTCAGGTGAGTGATGTTCCAGCTTTGAAGTGCTGTCCTCAAAACTTCCTAAGTGCCCCCTCCAGCACCTCGAGACCAGCCAGGTTGGCAGTACTAGGGCATCCTGGAGTCAGCCTGCGTCCCATGTGTCCTATTTAGCAGGCGCCTGGGTAGCTTAGTCAGTTAAGCGTCTGAGTCTTGATCTCAGCTCAGGTCTTGATCTCAGGATCTTGAGTTCAAGCCCTGTGTTGGAGCCTACTTAAAAAAAAAAAAAAAAAACTGTCCCCACCCCATGTATGTATTATTTAGGGAACACTTTTTTTTTTTTGGTCTTTAAGTATTTTCTTTTTTTTTAAATTTTATTTTATTATGTTATGTTAATCACCATACATTAGAAATTTTCCAAAATATCCTTCTAGTGCCCAGGACTAGCCAGAAGAGCAGAGCCATCCAGGTGGGGCTAAGCTTAGACAGGAACCCATGTGGTTCCTGGTCTTTGGATGTCCCTTTTTTGAGAGCTCTTCCCCTCCATCCTTATCCATACATTCAACAAGATGTTGCTCATAAACATGGGACTCAAGCCGATGGGATGTCCTGGTGAGCAGATAGATCCTTTCTGCTGGCCGTCACAGTATATTTGCTGCATGACTGAGCTGACAGAATGTTGGTGACAGGATGATTTGAGGTGGCCCTCATGTCAGACACCGCATGTGGTCAGGGCTCCAGGCTATCGAAGGTCGCTCTTACCCTCAGGCTAAAGCATGTGTGTGGACCTGCCTCCCTTCAACAGCACTGGAGCGTGGCTGAGGAGGAATTTACTGTAGACTCCAGTGCTGGCCCCTCAGGTGGTCACCTCACCCCCTGCACCCTCTGTAGCACGTGTTTGGCAGTCCTCTGTGGCTAGGCCTGGCCCTTACAAAGGCTTTGGAGAATCTCACTCCATGACACAAAGAGACCTTTGCAGCAGATCCCATGCCCCCATGAGGTAAGTTCCTACTCTCTCAGGCCAGTCTTCAGCTGGATGGATACTCCTTGGGAGACTGGGATCGCCCTTCTGGCTCTGCCCACTGGCTTCTCACCTGTCCTGCCCACAAGTGGGGGTGTGTGGAAGGCAGGGTAGAGTCGGTATGGAAAGAAATCACATTCTAGGAATGCAATGATTACAGCATAAGGAGTCCAAGAGAAGACAGACACAGAAGGAAAATATGTTGATGTACGTTTGTGCTATAAAATTCTGAATGGCAGAAATGAAGTATCATTCACACTTTTCTTAATATTCTGGGTAAGACTTGCATCTGTGGCCATCATTAACAAGAGCAGTAACGATTTTTTGAGAGAGTTCTTAGAAGCCAGTGTTCACAGGCCATATGATCGATTGCAGACTGGCGGAGTCATT